TCAGTAACAGGACAAGTTGTTGAAGAAAGACAAGATGTAAGTTCATGTGATTTAGCAAGGATAAGGTAATAAAGTCCATTTGATAAGGAAGGAAGTGGACTTGCTTGACCTATTCCAGTTGCGATGTTTTGAGACCCGTTTGCCATTGTGACTGTTGGAAGAGAATGAGAATATGAAATAGTAGTGAAAAGAGATTAGTTACCAGAAATGTGATCAGATACACCTTAATCAATGACCCATGACTCGGAGGATGAAGATTGGAAGACACAACTCACGCTATCTCTGAAGATGTATGTCTACACACTTTGTACTGAAGGAACTCAATATAATCCGACAGAGAAACCATCCAACTATTCATAATATTGGATCCCATGTCGCTATAATTAATTTCTCAAATTCGTGGCTAAAAGTTCTAGGGCTAGCTTGAAATAGTGAAAATCAGTAATTCCTAGAAAACTGAAGAAATATCTGGGAAAACACCGTTCACATCAGAGAAAAAGAACACTATTTACGCCGGAAAACACTGTAGCTCGCCGAAAAATTTCAAAATTTGTCAAAATTTGTCGGGAATAGTACAGTAGACTCGGAATTGTTGTGCGAACATGCTGTCCTGAAGAAGCTCCGCCAAAAAATGGTCGAAGAAGCACGCACGCGCCGACGCATGGGACAGACGCGCTGGTGAAGTCACAAATCTGGACAGCGCGTGGAGGCATTTGTTGCCGGAGAATCTGAATGGGATTTGGTCGCTGGAGTTTTCCGAGTCTAATAGTGGTGTTGGTTTGTGCACAACACTCACCAAACGTGAGATGACGCAAATCAATCACTTAGGCCACCGAAAAATTGCACGGTGACTGAGTTCTTTCTTCCCGGATGTCGCTGGAATAACGCACAACGATCTTTCCTCACTAATGCTCTGATACCATGTGAGAAAGCACAGAAAAAAAATATATTACTGATCTTCTATTCAATTATTAGGTGGGAGTAGCCCATGTGGAGGATAAGATGCGGGAGGCGAGGTTGAGATGGTTCGGGCATGTTAAGAGGAGAAGTATAGAATCCCCAGTTAGAAGGTGCGAACGGTTAGCCTCGATGGGTAGCAGGAGGGGTAGAGGTAGGCCTAAGAAGTCTTGGGGAGAGGTTATTAGGCGGGACATGGCGCAGCTGGAGCTGACTGAAGACATGCCCTAGACAGGAGGGTGTGAAGATCAAAGATTAGGGTAGAAGGTTCATATGTAGTCGAGCGTTTCACTTTGTCTTACTTAGTTTGCTAGCATTAGTGTTAGTATGATATCTTTTATCAATAGATGGCTATTACCACCTAGAGCTTGATTGCATTCTTGGATTCGATCTTATTTCATCTTGTTGTTATTCCTACTTGTTGCAATTACCTTTTCTTTTTTAATCATTTTTTAGCCGAGGGTTTATCGGAAACAGCATCTCTACTCTTCCAAGGGTAAGGCTATGTACATTTTACCCTCCCCAGACCTCACTTGTAGGAAACTACTAGGTTTGTTGTTGGTGGTGTTATTATTCAATTATAATACATTAAGCCTTATTTATACAATACATATCCTACTCCTATTCTATGTGGGACTAGGACTAATTCACGTTATTTACATAACTATCTAACACTTAGCATTGACCACCATCTTCCACAAAGGTTGCTCCTCTTGTGTGTACCTCCAAAGCCACTTCACCAATAGGCATGTGTTGTGAATTGTCATTTCCTTGATTCCCAATCCTACTTGGTGTTTTGGGAGAATGACCTTTTTTCACTTTACCAAGTGAAACTTATGCTCAGTGTTATTCCCTTTCCAAAGGAAAATTCTCCTTATTTAACACTTTGTTGGGCATATAATATAGTGACATGTAGTATGTGGGAATGCTATCCAGGACACTATTGATTAGTGTGAGTCTGCCACCCATAGAGAGGTATTGCATCTGCCAGGAGGCTAATCTTCTCTCAAATTTCTCAATGACCCCGTTCCATATTGTTGAAAAGTTGTGCTTTACTCCCAATGGTAGGCCCATGTAAGTGGTAGGAAGTGTCTCCTCCAAATTCTGCACTTCATTGACGGGATAGATCACACTATGGGGCATATTGATATGTAAACCTGAAAGTGCTTCAAAAAGAAGAAGAAGAATTAGATTTAGATGAAGCACCCGATCTCTGTCTGCACCACAGATGATCAGAGTGTCATCAGCATATAGCAAATGATAGATGTTGATATTGCTCTGAACTCCCACATCAAATCCTCTTATCCATTGTAATTGATTGGCCGTGTCTAACATTCTGCTTAACCTTCCATACCAAGTATGAATAGGAAGGGAGAGTGAGGATTTCCCTACCTCAAACTTCTTTATGGTAAGAAGAAACCAATTGGGCTTCTGTTGACTAGGAACGAATACTTGACAATGGAGATATTAAATTTGATCCACTTGATCCACCTGCTGCCAAACCCCGTCTGTCTAGGTATTGAGATAAGATAAACCCAATTTAATTGATCAAAGGCTTTCTCTATGTCCAGCTTACATAGAATCCCTGCTCCTCCCCGCTTTAGTTGCCAATCTAGGACTTCATTAGCAATCAAAGAGGCATTAGTGATCTGCCTAATCTTCATAAATGCATTTTGCTGGTTTGAGACCAGCTTCTCTATCAGACTTAAACCTTTCTACTAGAATGTTTGCTGCAATTTTATAGATACTTCCAACGAGACTAATTGGTCTGTAGTCTTTGAGTTCCATGGCTTCTTTCTTCTTAGGGATCAGAGCTATAAAGGAAACATTGCGTGACCTCACCATCCAATAATGATCATGATGATGATTTAGTGCTCCCATGATGTCTGTCTTGATAAAATCCCATGTTTTATGATAAAATGCCATTGTGTATCCATCAGGCCGGGTGCCTTGTCGAGAGAACGTGACTATAGCTGCTAGAACTTCTTCCTCCTCGAAGATTGCGTCTAGGTTAAGACTTTCTTCTTCTATGATATTGACAATGCCTTCAAAGTGACAATAGATCTCCGGTCCTCATGCTCAGTATAAAGCCCCTCGTAGAAATCCAGTATCTCCTTTTTAATCTGCTCTTGTCCTCAATAATTTCTTCTCCCACCTGAAGTCTGTCAATATTGTTGTACCTCCTATTGGAAATTTGCAATCTTTTGGAAGTACTTGGTATTCATATCCCTATCTTTAAGCCAAAGACACCTTGATTTTTGCCTCCAAGAGGCCTCTTCTGCACTGGCTAGCTGCTGCATTTCTGCTTTCAAAGTCATCATGTAAGTGATCTCCTGTTGTGTGAGGTTCTTCCTCTCCTGTTCCTATTCAAGTGCTAGAAGCCCAGTCAAAGCTCTAGTCCTTTTGGTTTCCAATTTCCCGAACTCTTCCTTGTTCCAGGTAGTAATATCTTTCTTTAAGGTTTGCAACTTCTGCATGAGTATGTAATCTGCACTACCAGTGAATTGAATAGCTTTGCCACCATCCTTTCAGTTTCTCAATAAACCCTTCTGATTGTAGCCACATATTTTTAAATTTGAAATATAAAGGGTTGGTATCCCAATCCCCACTTTCCAGCATGATAGGTTTGTGATCAAAGATCACTCTAGGAAGTATTTGTTGTTGCACTGCTTTGAAGGAGTCATTCCATTTAGGGGAGATGAGAAATCTATTAATTTTTGAAGCTTGAATGCAGTTCTCTCCTATGGTCCAAGTGTAACAGGCTCCTTGAAGTGGCAAATCTATTAAACATAAGTCCTGTATGGTTTCATAGAATACTCTCCTGGCCCTAGATCTCCTTGTGTAATTGAGTCTTTCCCTTTCAAATCTGCAAACGTTGAAATCCCCTCAAGTACCCAGTGACCTTCCCATAGACTCCTTACACCTGCAAATGAGTCATGACTTCCCTTTCTAGGCTGGTATGAGGCCCATATATACCTGTAAAGCACCATCTGAACTCTTCCTGAGTACTCTCTAAAATGCAAGAGATGGAGAAGGAACCTTGCATATTCCCAATGTTATTCCATTATCTTCTATCCCATACAACTATAATCCCACACCCTGTTACCACTTGCTTTCAACTCAGCACATCTATTTCCCATAATTTGTAAACTTCGCATGCTAGCCAATCTTCAAGTTTGGTTTCTTGTAAACACAAGACATCAACTTTCCATTTAAGAACCAGAGATTTAATGGTATTCCTTTTCCTACTGTCATTCGCCCCCTGCACATTCCAACTTTTAATCTTAATCCATTTCGAAGTTTCAACCACTGTTGGTCTGTTCACACTCTACATGCTCGTTTCTCCTTCGTACCATGTTAATCCTTGAAGAATTGTGGAGTACCATCTGATCGCACGTGAAGCTCATCGTTGCAACGCCACATAGATAACTAAAAGAATGTGCAAGTTAGAAAAAATATAAAATAGTGTTGAAATGGCGCAACATCTCAAAATGGATTAAGACAAAAGTAAGAAAAACATGTTGGATACCTCAAACATAAGGTCCTTTATTTGCGAATAGTACATTTCCTTTTATCTCCTTCTTGGATTCTCCTCTCGATCAATATTTTCTCCTTCTCGAAATACCTTATAAGTTTTTCACATAATGTCTCATAAGTTAGACATATTTTTATAACACTATTTTTAGATATTTGAATTATTTTTAGTCGAATCTCCGTACCCGTATCCGTAGCAGGATCCATATCCCCGAAACTTAAAATTTAGATAATGAAAGATCTGACCTCTAGATCCGCACCCATATCGGACACCTGCACTAGAGTTCGAGCAACTTGGCCCTGCGCCACCTAAGAACTCACCTCCCTTCCCCATTTATTATTTTCCACACCATGGCCCATCCGATTTCCACCCCTAGCTCTAAGGCTTACAGTCTATATTTATTTTGCATGGGTATTTTCTAGCACAAACATGAAAATTCATCTACTCAAACACTTGTTTCTCAAACTCGTAAAATGATCAAACATGCATTTCGAGGAAACCACTAGAGGACGACAAAAATGAGATGCCCATTGCTTACATAATTGGATACCTAAAAGAGAAAAGTTCTCTCAATCTGGGTAAAAACATACCAACAGCACAACACGTGGGATGGCCAAGAAAATATTCTATAGTAAAATGAAAATTGGTAATCAGTATAGGGATCAGGTAGGTTTTTCAACCTTTTTTATGCACCTTTGTGCTTAGGTCCTTAGCCATACAATATCTATAGAAGCATCCTTGTACTCCTCGCTAAGACCTCTGTCAAAGTCCTCACATCAACGGGGGAAAATCATGAGCCACATCAGATAACACAAGCAATTGTCATCAGCTTTCTTTGTAGTCAGACGAAAAGTGTTTTTTACTCTGATCACTTCCTCAACATATGTATGACATATTCCTTACAAGCCCCAGGGTGGGGGGAGGGACATCCATAACATTTCGGGAAGTGAATCCTGAAAATAGTCTAGAAACTCATCATGAGATTCTCTACAACATATGATTATAGAAAAAAAAACTTGATATTGTTTCAAAATCTTCAGTCTTCTTTACAATATCTAACTATAGATCACAAAAATTACATTTTGTTTTTAAACTTTAGTCAAATTTCCAACAAACCTACATAAGAAGCCGGGCTTGGATTCTCCTTTTATCAGCTTACACTTGCAAATATAAGGTTTGTTTTAGCTGAGTTTATTATTATTTTGGATGATGAAGAAGAAAGAACAATGTTGTAAAATTACCTGATCTAAGAGTGCTGAGACGTGTAACCAGGAGACGTCCCTTGGAGAGACTTGGGAAACATCATTAGATAATCAAGCACTGAATCAACATGATTGAGTTTGCCAAGAAGCATTGAGACTAAACCCAGCCTCTCTTCAAGGTCCCGATGTTTTCAGCTACTGTCACAGGTTTTTGCCATCATGTTTTTGCACCACTGTCCTCTTCATCAGACTACAGCTATATCGCTCTTGTAAGATGACTTTGAAACAGCAAAGCTTCAATCATTGTTTGCTACTTCTCACAAATCGTGGCTCCATATTACCTTAGTTTGATTGCCATCAATCCTCAAGTGACTAGTGGTAGAATGTTTTCTCTGTGTACAGAAGAAAGAAGCAAAAATACTCAGAACAAATAGTTCTAGACTTCTGAGCTGTGGGCAAGCTCTCTTGTCATTGCAAGTAGTCTCAATCCAAGAAGTTCATTTACCTGTCAAATTTATAGTTCATTCAGCTTTCATTGATCTTTTGAATAAAACATAATCTTAAGCCAGTAGATTAGAGTTTCATTTATCCGTGCATTTTTTTTCTTTTAGGTGATCTATCAGCAGACTGGTGAGTGCAATTGCTTCTTGATTCTCGGGGAAAAAGGTTGAACATAACCTGTGTTCTTATATTTTTTCATTTTGAGCATTCTTACTTTGCATCAGAAAAACAAGTAAAATGTCCCCGATTTGCAAAATGCATGTTCATGTGGTATTCTTTCTCATGCATTTGCAGCCCAGAGTATTAACTCAATTCCATTTCTCCTCCCTCAAGCCAAAATATAAGAGAAAAGTAATTTTCTTTCATTTTATCCTCCATCTTCCAATCCATTGTTGCATGCGGAATATGCTAGGTGGTGTTTTGAAAATAATCCGGAGAGGTTTCTGAAGGTTTTCTGGAAGAAGTTAAGTACACTAAAATGTGTTTAGATGGCTTAACTTTTTGTAGTGACTTTCCAGAAAAAGAATTTAGAAAACTGTCTCAGAGCGGAGTTTATTCAAGTAATGTTTTAAAAACAATTTTCAAGTGAAACCGGTCAAACACACACAATCTTTTCACCTGCTAGATTATCTTCGAAACAAAACCCCTTTTATTTTTCATATATTCAACTTTCAACAATAATAACCATTTGACTGGATAGCTAGTTGAATCACTTAACTTTTACCATCTTGGCTTAAATACTTATAAATTATAAATACAAATATTAGAGTTTTTGTATCCAGGCAAAAGCCTTTTGAGTGTGTCATTGTTATGTGTACTCCTGTAAATGAGAAAAGTAATTACTTGAATAGGACGAACCTTCGTGGATAATTTCTTCAAAAGCTTTTTGTCTCTTATCCCATCGTATAAGAGTTCATAGGCATAATAGGTTATATGATCCTTCTTCAGCAAGTCTTCCACAACGATCTTGGGAGCTGCCACATCCTTTTTATCTGCTTCAAAAATTGTGTGGACCACATCAGGTACAACACCCTTCTGCACCATGAGATGAATGATACCAACTGCTTCGAGCAACCTGTTCTTCACGCATAGGCAATTGATCACTCGTCCCGCTGTTTCTTTTGATGGAAGAAACTCTTTCGCCATGTTGTCAAGCAAAAACTTGTACCCCAATTCGCTGTTGTCTACCTTGCAGAAACCATCTATCATACAACGGTAGGTGTAATTGTCAGGAGAACAGCCACATTCACTCATCTCAAGAAATAGCTTCTCTGCTATGTCCATTTTCAGCTTTTTAGCAAATGCACTAATCAAAATATTGTACGTTGCAGTAGTATGAGTGCAATTATATTGTGTTTTCATTCTTCTGAATAGCTCATAGGCTCCTTCCAAATCCTCATTCTCACAAAACCCATTTATCAAAGTGCCAAAAGTCACTGTATCAGGAATTAGACCCTTGCTTTGAATATCCTCAAGTAAGTCTAAAGCTTTCATAAACTTTCTTGATTTACAAAGGCTCTCAATGAGAATATTATATGTGATTATGTTTGGGACACACCCCTTTTCCACCATGACTTTGAAGGTTTCCATCACATCATCAGAAGTTTTAAGCTTGCAAAGTCCATCCAACATTGTGTTATACGTTATCACATCTGGAACAACGTCATGATCCCACATGGTATTTAGAATCTCGATTGCATCAGCCAATTTCGACTGTTTGCAATAACCATCAATCAAGGTGTTGAAGGTGAAAATATCAGGAAGGGTCCCTTTGGCCACGGCAACATTCAGGATATTACTAGCATCAGATACACAGCCCATCTTGCACAAACCATTTATGATCAGATTATAAGTCCATGTATCAGGCCTGCAACCTTTCTCAGGCATTTCAGTCATCAACTTCAATGCTTCTAAGATAAGTCCCTGCCGACACATTCCCTTAATTAAGGTATTATAGAGGATTACATTACACTGCATACCTTTACCTGTGGCTTCATTAAATAAACTCTTGGCTCTGTTAAAGTCACCATCCTGGCATAATCCATAAATAAGGGAGCACAAAGTAAACTCATCAGGAACAAAACCTTTAAAAACTGCATAATTAAGAATTCTGTCCGCTTTCTGTATCATACCCAATTTGCAATATGCGCCAATGATCGTGTTATAGGTGAATGCATCGGGCTCAAACCCGCCGTTCACCATTTTATGCAAATAAGACTCAGCTTCAGCAACCTTGGAGTGCTTGCATAAACCACATATAAGAGTGTTATAAGTGACTACATCAGCATTTAAACCTTCTTTGTTCAAAGTCCCTAACATCCTAGCAGCTTCATTTAGTTGGCCTCTCTCAGAAAGACCTTGTATCAAGACATTACATGTAAAAAGATTTGGAAACACTCCTCTTTTCATAATCTTATTAAGAAGCCTTTCACTTTCTTGGACGTCCCCCTTCTTACAAAGTGTACAGATAAGCTTATTAAACGTAGTAACATCAGGAGTTATTCCGAGCCTAAGCATTTCATCGAACAATTCACAAGCCTCAACTCGACAATTCACTTCATAAAATCCACCAATTACTGTACAGTACGCAACTGCATTAAATTCGCATCCTTGATCAGGCATGTTATTCAAAAGCCTCAAAGCAACATGAGGCCGGTTCGTTCTACAAAACGACTTTATCCTAATAGTAAAGGTATATACATCAGGAGAAATCCCCTTTTCCAGCATTCTCATATAAACCTTATGAGCTTGTTTAAAAAACCCATGTTCAACCAATACATTCATGATCGTGTTATACGAATGAACAGACGGCTGACAATTGAAAAAATCCATCTTCTCAAACACGTCAACCGCCTCTTGAACTTTCCCTTTCTTCCCATAACTTCTAATAGCAGTAATGTACACCCCTTCTAACAACATATTATCAATTTTCTGCCTCGCTTCTTCAATGACGCCTTCCATTTCCTTGAACTCCCCATAACAACCAAGCTTTTCGACCATACATTTATAGGTAGACAAATTATGGTTAAACCCATCTTCCTTTTTCACAGAATTGAATATTTCTAGTGCCCTTAATGGGTTCTTTTGACATTTTAATACAGCAGCCACATGTTTAGGAAGCACAGCAGCACTCATTCGTATACTATCAGTAAATCAATCAATCAACCAATACAACTCACTCTGTTTTTCACTCATTTCAGAAACCTGAAGAATTACAGCCAGGGAAAGGACAATTAAGAAAACAGCAAATGAGCAAAAATAGTATATGGGAGAACAAGATTACCTGAAAGTGTTGTAGGATTTTGCAGTTAAAACTTCCGCTTCTTTTGAAGAGGAAAAAAAACTGATTTTTGAAGCCAATAAGCTGACTGGGAGTTAGTTCGGCGCCTGTCGGAGAAGAAGGAGAAGCAGGTGAGGAAGAATAGGGTTTAGTTTCAATGATGTCTCTGACTGTAGTTTGAGCACATTGTATGTATTTCTCTGGTTTAATTTTGAAGAAGAGGAGATCGAAGAGGCTGAGTGCCAAAAGAAAATAGTTGGGAATTTTGCCTTTGTCCTTTTATCGTATCTCCGGTTTCTACCAAGTGGCGAGTCATGTTGTGTATGTCGTACCCCAGGAAAAACAAAAAAGGAAAAGGGCTAGTTGTGTCCTATACTATCGAAATAGTTATTAGTACACTATGTTATACTATCGTTCACTATCTATTCCTACTATTATCTATTTTAATATTTCTGCCCTCACATCTAACGAACTCTTATTTTAAGATACGTGGCACGATCTTAAACAATCTAATCATCTACCCGTTTACCCTAGTCGTTCAACCCCGACTCAATATCCAAACCCACCCCATGAAAACGATTTTAACCTATAGATATGGTTCTTCTCCTTCGTTTATATCGAGGAACTGTTTCAGCCCATTTGAGGCTGCTGGATTCAAAAACAAAAATCAAAAAATTCTTTAACTTCGCTATTTGGGTTTGAGATTTGTAGTAGAAATTTCAAGTTTGAGTTTTAAGAGTTTTCGTGTTTCAAATCAGGAGCTGAAAACTTAAACTCACGTTGTGGCTCATTGTTTGGACGATTTGGTATTCGAACACTTGAATAACTTTCAAGTTCTTTGTGACGCTGGCAGTTTGAGTTTGTGCGAAATTTTTTGAGATCCATCATTGATGAACAACCTTTAAACTTTAGAAGTGGGTTTGAAGTTTGAACTAGAAGAAAATGAACTGGGTATCTTAATTTCGTTGATATTTGCTCGAATTGGTACTTTCTATTGTAATTAGTATTGTTTATAACTTTGATTGAAGAAGAAGAAGAAACTCATTTCTAAAATTTCGAGATCTTGGTTCACAAAAATTAAGAAAACAGAAATGCCATTGTTGAACCTTGAAGGTCTTGGAATTGAACTAGATTGGGAGGTATTTAGGACAACTTTGGTCTAGATTTGGTCAATATTTGTAAGCTAAAAATGCACCAATTGTTATCTTTGTTTACACTTGACTAGATTTAACTTAGTATTAATACGTATTAAGATTAATCTAGTCTTTTATGTTGCTTAGACCTGTGAAAAATATTAGTAAATTTTTAAGCTGAGAGAATTTTGTGAAAAGAAAGAGCTAATGCAAAGAAAGAAAAGAAATGGATTTAAGAAAAAGTTATAAATTTCACTAATGATGAAGTTAAGAAGAGTGAAAAAAGGTAATGTAAATGGGCTTGGAGTTACGAGTATGGATACTAGGTTTAAAAGAAAAAATGGGTCTAGACACTTAAAAGCTGCCACGTGTAAGCAGGGCACGACTCTGTTAGATGTGGGGGCAGAAATATTAAAATGGGTAATATTAGGGGTAGATAGTGAAGGATAGTATAACGGAGGGTACTAATAACTAATTTTCGATAGTACAGGGACACATTTAGCCCTTTTACCGAAAAAAACAAATTGTGGCAGATAACCTAAGAACCCGTAAATTGCTATAAAAGAAAAAAAGAAGTGAACTTTACATAACTGTCATCGTTTAAAAGAAATATAACAAATTTTTAGCATGAAATTCAATATTACAGTTGTGGCAGGAAAATATTTATATTTGTAGCACACGGTTTCATTAAAATAAGAATATTAATTATTAATCCCTAAACATAAGCAATTTGTATGGAAAGTCAATAATTCTTTGTACAAAAATCATGCTTTTTTCTCTTTATCTATTAACTTTCCTTCTTTTTCTTCATCTTCTTAATTTTATTTTCTGCCGAAACCAATATATTTTCTAAATTTGTTCCATTTGTTTTCTTTCTTCCTTTCTTAACATAAAGATCTTACTTCGATAATATACATTAATATATATAAAACGTATATATAAAAAATATACATTGAATTAACATATATAAAATATACATAAAAAATACATCTTCAATTAAGATGACACTTAGACAAGTGAAATATACATAAAAAAAATATCTTAAATTTAATTAAGATGGCATATAAATATACAAATATATATATATATATATATATATATATATATATATTATATAATACATCCTGAATTAAAATGACACTTGACATATAAAATATATTTGAAATATACATTAAAAATACATCTTAAAATAAGATGGCACTTCACAAATAAATATACAAAAATTATATACATAAAACTACATTTTGAATTAAAGTGATACTTGATATACAAAGTATAAAAGACGTATAAATCAATACATCTTGAATTTAGGTGGCATTCACAAATGCATTAGATTTTCAAAAATGGAGTGAAGAAGATAAATATTGGAAAGGGATAATGGAGATGGACAAAAAAAGTATTTTCCGTGATTAGTGAGTCAGTTAACTTATTAAATGTTGAGCTTAATTTTCATAATATGTTAATAATGAAAAAAAAAGTGTTCTTTATAGAATAAATAATAAATAATGCTATATTTTTTTAATAATAGTTAAAAAAAGATCAAGCGTGTCAAAAATTAAAAATAAAAGAACCCATAAATTTGGCACCGGTTATTCAGTGCATATATAACAATTTACAACTTTAATTGCTCAACTTAGCTAGTATTTGATAGTCTTTACCTCCATGACGTGCAAATACGAGATGTTCATACGGGAATTTATCTGATGTAAAGTGACATTTTTCATTATTACATAGTATGAATTTTACAATATGATATAATAAAATTCAAATAACAATCAAAATAAATATTGTATTTAAAATAACAATACGATACGATATAATAAGTAATAACCATCCAAACAAGCGGTAAGTTTCTAACAAAAGAGCCTTTTTAGTGTCACGACCCAATTTTTCCTCCGTAAGACGTCGTGACGGCACCTAGTCTCTATGACTAGGTGTCACGACCCAAAAATCGCACCACAGGCGTCGTGATGGCACCTAATCTCTAAGGCTAGGTAAGTCGATTTCAGTTACATTTTTAAAGCCATTATTTTTTTTGAATTAAATAAGTAATCAAAACTAACAGCGGAACAAATATAAAAAAATACAACCTCCCAAGACTAGTAGTAATGAGACGACCCCAAGGGACTGCGACGACCAAGCAGCTCTACCTTGAATTCTTACGATCCCGCTTTAACTCTGCTCAAGTCCGATATCTCCAATACCTGGCTCTGCACAAAAATATGCAGAAGTGTAGTATGAGTACATCACGGTCGGTACCCAGTAAGTATCAAGACTAACCTCAATGTAGTAGAAACGAGGTACAGTCAAGACACTCACTAGTCTAATAACATGTGTAATATAATATACAAAATAATAGGAAACAAATAACAATAAGGACAACATAAAACAACCAGTGATTTGCACATTAAGACAATAAATCACTATTAATATCGCTCAACAATTGATAAATACAATTATACCCAGTTAGATCAAGTTCTTCAATTAAATATCTTTCACACATAATTCTTACGAATAAAACTCTTTTTCAAATATAATTTCCTCAAATTCGAATAAAACAATTTTTTCAATAAATATCTTCAAATATAATTTCCTCAAATAAACATCTTTCAAATACAATTCTTTCGTATAATTTTTTTTGAATAAAAATCCTTCCAAATAAATATTTTGAATATAATTCTTTCGATTAAAGAGTCACCATGTGACACATAATTTCAAAATTATAAAAATACGGGTCTCAACCCATTTTCATATTCTTTTCGTAAATACGGGTCTCAGCCCATTTTTCATATTTTTCCGGTACCTCGTGCCTATAATTAAATCATCATATTTCCTTGGAACCTCGTGCCCTCATTTCATATCACAACTGTACGGACAATTCACGTTCCAAATATCATTATCATTTCATCACAGCACCTCGTTCCCACATTTCATATCACAATTGCACGGATAATTCACGTGCCAAATATCCTCATTATTTACTCACGGCACCTCGTGCCCACGTTTTATTTTATAATCCGCCTAGCAATAGCCACAGACTCTCAATTTCAACATAAATCAGATTGTTATCAATTTACCAATAACAAGACAAATTGCACAAGGTATAAAAATAAATACAAGAAAATCACAACATCACATGAAAATTATCAACACCACAACCCCACATCATCACATATCATCCCTCACAATAGCCAGCTTATCGCTCATATTGCCACCCTTATCACTCATATAGCCACCCTTATCGCTCCGCCCAGACAATATCAATAGCCACCCTCATCGCTCCTATTGCCACCCTTATCGCTCCTATAGCCACCCTTATCGCTCCGCCCAGACCATATTCCAACAAACACAATCACAGTGAAATGCCACCCTTATACCCACATAATATCAACGGTGAAATGCCACTCTTATACCCACACAATATTAACGGTGAAATGCCACCCTTATATCCTCAAAATAATAATTAACACAACACAACAATTTACACGGAAAATTATCACGGCAATATAACAAAATCAATTCATATCACAATTTGCCCAATGACCACAACCAAATTCCAAAGCTACAACAAAGTCAATTAATTTCACAACAAATAGCCAAAATCTCCACACAATATGCACAACACCCAAAAACAATCAATAGAGATAGAACTTACTCAACATAAATCAAAGCCTTCATTAAATTTAAATTTTTAATAATTATATAAACACCTCTTCTTAAGCTCATTTAATTAATTATTAGCAGAGGGAAAATCAATAATAAAATTAAATTCCAATAATTATCAAACCAACAAATTCACGGAATTACATAAATAATCAAGTAACAATCATATCAAATTGTCATATAACAACAGATTCAACAACAAGAAGGATTTAGGCACGACAAATAGATAATTAAATATATACCAACAATTATCCAATTTACCACACAATATACTCAAGACTTTAACTCAATAAAATTTACACATATAAGCCGAGTACGTACTCGTCACCTCGCATACACGACTTTTCACATTTCACAAATGGCACATAAGACTCGATGTCTAAGGGAAAAATTCCCCCACTCGAGGTTAAGCAAGACGCTTACCTTTTTGAAGTTATGCCGATATTCCAAAATCGCCTTCTTGCTTGAATTGACCTCCGGACCGCTCAAATCTATCCAAAATAATTGCATAACTT